ATGCTGAGCATATTTAGGGAAGGTAAAGCTAAGATACAATGTTTGGAAGGTTAAATATACTAAACATATATTCTTTTGCATGTTTAATTCTAGGGATCAAACTGAGATATCCACTTGCTAGGCAAGTATGCTACCACTCCTAAAGACATTTTTATTAATTTATATTTTTGGTGGTTCTGTGGGTTAAACCCAGGACCTTTTGCATATGAGGCAAGCACTCTACCAATTGAGTTATATCTCCAGCCCTCTAAACACATTTTTAACTTAAGATATTTTCAACTTATATGTCAGGTTTGTCAGGATGTAACACCATTATCAGTTGAGAGGCATCTGTAAACATCTTATAGAAACCCTAACAGAGGACAAATTTAAATTATAGGTGACTACTAACTTGAAGAAAATATTTAAAATTTCAAAACAAGTTATGTTAGCAACATCATCAATAGATTTAAATTCCTTATAATGTTGGGCATGTCTTTTTTTTTTTTGGTGGTGCTGGGGATTGAACCCAGGGCCTTGTGCATTCAAGGCAAGCACTCTACCAACTGAGCTATATCCCCATCCCCCTGGGCATGTCTTAATACACAGAAAAAGCAAGGTGGATATTGATGAGTTATACACTCTATAACCCTTTCAGTCATGGGACTGAAATTTGAAAGCTAGGCTTTCCTATATGCCTCACGTACCATGTGTCCAGGATTATCAGAAATTTATTATGTCCTGGGGCTCGGGATATATCTCAGTTAGTAGAGTGCTTGTCTCACATGCACAAGGCCCTGGGTTCAATCCCCAGCACCACAAAAAAAAAAAAAAAGAAAAGAAATTAACGATGTCCTAGTATAGGAAGGTAACATGTTCAGATTGACAAGGTTCAAAACATGTTAGTCTAAAATAAGGTATCTTGGCAAATTGAATAGTTTAAGATGAAGTAATCTGAGAAACAGCAGGTGTAGGAAAATCTCTCTGACCTTCTCCTTATAAGACACTCATTCAAGACATGCCCTCATGATACCTGGAGAAAAAAGATCATCATTATCTCCAAAGGCGGACAAAGGTCTAGCTAAGTTTCCTACTTTGTCCTATCACATTTTCCCATGGCTTTCCATTCCTTATCAAACCTAATATGAAAGCACTTGGGTTTAATCATTTCTTCAAATCTTTATGAAGGTTCCCATGGCACATAAAATTTGGGTGGGGTGTAGCTCAGGGGTAGAGTACTTGCCTAGCCTGTAGAAGGCCCTAAATTCTATCCCCACAGCACTGCCTAAAAAACTAAACAAAAAAATGTGTAAATGTCACATAAAACTCATATTAAATAAAGGTGTCCTTTTCTCTTGCTATTGTTTTTGTTAAAAGAAGGGCCTCAACTAAGAACCTAGAAGGGTAGATGGAAAAATAACTTTTTCTTCCTTTACAAGATCCTATTTTGACTAGTAATGTCTCAGTCTCATAAGCTATGACCTGTTTTCCATTAGCTTGGGCTTCTTTACTCTTAGAGATCTTCCTTTAGGCTTTAAAATCTTGTTATCTATATTTTGGCATTTGTACAATATTTCCCTCATCTTGCTTTGTTGTGAGCTGAAGTACGGCTAACCACATCTACCTCAATATAATGCAGAATAGTAGCTCTTGAGGTCCTTCTTAGCCCTCACCTCCTTGACACAATGGTGTCAGGAGACCTCTGAATCACAGCTAGTGACACAGCTAGTGACAATACCACCACAAACTCCCCTAACTCCAAGGACTTCCAACAGCTTTGAGTCAGAACAAAGTTGTATGTGTTTGAGTTAATGTGTTCACATCCAACCATTTTCAAAGATTGGTATATTCTAAATTTTCTGGAAAACTAATTACAGTTATGCATTATATAATGATATTTTTGTCAATGATGAACCACATACAGGATGGACTATAATGGTAAGCTATCCCCATCATTAAGTGATGTGTGACTTACAAAAATTTGCCACTTACACTGCTTTCCTTTTCTTTTTGTTTTTAACTGAATCTTTGTGTTTGTCCAAATAAATATTTGTTTTTCTAGGATTTAAAGTATGCAAGTTTTTCTGGCCATGAAAAAAAAAATTTTTGGAGGGGGGTACCTGGATTGAACCCAGGGGCACTTAATTGTTGAACAACATCGCCAGCCCTTTTAAAATTTTATTTAGAGACAGGTCTCACTGAGTTGCTAAATGCCTTGTTAAGTTGCTGAGGCTGGCTTTGAACTCACGATCCTCCTGCCTCAGCCTCCCTCGTCCCTGGGATTATAGGTGTGCACCACTGCACCTGGCACTGGCCATGAAAATATTAAGATTATAAGTAACACAGAAAAGAAGGGAAAAATCTAAGAGCCATATAAGTATGTCTGGAAATTCTATAGCCTGTGGAAGACTAATAACTGATATAATCTTTCACATACTAGCACATTCATAATGAAGATAAACACCTAGGATAATATATATATATATCTTTTTTTTTTTTTTTTTTTTTTTTAGGTATCAGGGTTTGAACTCAGGGGCACTCATCAACGAGCCACATCCCCAGCCCTATTTTGTATTTTGTTTAGAGATAGGATCTCACTGAGTTGCTGAGGTTGGCTTTGAACTCTCAATTCTCCTATCTCAGCCTCCTGAGCTACTGGATTATTGGCATGTGTCACCAGCTAGCATATATTAAAGATGGGCAAAATTAGAACATAAACAATTGCTGAGACAGAAATGTTCTTAAAAGATTTTCTTTCTTACACAACACTAGTCTATTAAAATCCTATGAATATGCAAATATTTATTACCTATACTTCCAATTCTTTTAGGGAAAAAATGCTAGAAAGAGAAAATGGAGATTGATGAAATCTTAAAAGATCTTTATAGAAAATGCCTTGTAGAAAATACTCAGAAACCTACAAATCTTGTATTAGGCCTATTAACTGAAAGTACACAACTAGTATCTAATTGCTATCCAGAGAATATACTTAATTCATTTATAAAAATCTAAATTAGATATTGCATACAATTTCCCTATTATTAAATCTCCCTACTGCTAATTTGGGCCAGTGAGAATAAGACTCATCAGACTTGTTTAAAGGTGTTTTGTTCTGGAAGGGAATGCTGAAAAACAAGAAGAAAACACTGAAAGACAGAAGTGAGAAATTTATAAACCTTTTAAAGGGGGAGTCAACTATACCCAAAATAAATCTAAAAATTCTGGTCTGAAAGATTAGTACTGGAAAAAAAATTTTCTAAAAAGTTTGTAACTTTCCATACTAAAAAGAAGCATCCTGTGCACGTTTCATTGTCTTTTAAGAGATAAGATCTCTTTCTTTCTTTCCTTTTTTTCTTTTTGGTACTAGGGATTGAACCCAGAGGTGATTTATCACTGAGCCCCATTCCACAGCCCTTTTATATTTTTTATTTTGAGACAGGGTGTCATTAAGTTGCTTAGGACCTCGCTAAGTTGCTGAAGCTGGTCTCAATCTTAGGATTCTCCTGCCTTAGCTTCTGGAGCTGCTGGGATATCATGCCTGACAAAAAAGATCTACAATGTGCTAAACAAACTTGGAGGTAAATTAATAGTATGACTATCTTAGGCATTGCAATCAGTCACCTTCTGACAAGTATCAAAAAAACTTCACGATAAAATTTGCATTTTTTTGTGTTGTATGATGTTTCAGTGTATTTGAAAAATTGAAAGCATTTCAGATGTTTTAGTATCTGTTTCATAGAAAGTATAATTCTTAATTTTAATAAATTTTATAGAATAAAAAGTTAAGAAAATGCAGCATATCTCAGGCAAAATAAATCACTCAAATTAAGACACTCAAAGCTATCAAATATTCCCAAGTAAACAAATTATTCCATAGCTTCAGTTTTAGATTCACAGATACGCTGACATTTTTCGACAAAAATAAACACCAACAGCTTTATTACATATATTTAGACAGACCTTTCAAAGTTTAAGTAAAATTTTCTCTCATAAAGTGAGAATACCACCTACTGCAGTGGCACACACTATAATCTCAGCAATTTGGGAGGCTGAGGTAGGAGGATTAAGTTCAAGGCCAGCCTCAGCAATTTAGCAAGACACTGTCACAAAGTTAAAAAAGGCTCAGTGGTAAAGCACTCCTGAGTTCAATTCCAAGTATAAAAAAAAATAAACAAACAAAAATATAAAGAAGAACACCTTTTCAAGGAAGATGAAGCTATTGAACAGTTAAATAAAGAAATAATGAATAAAGATTATTTTTGGGGGTACTGGGGATTGAATTCAGGGGCACTCAACAACTGAGCCACATTCCCAGCCCTATTCTCTATGTTATTTACAGACAGGGTCTCACTAAGTTGCTTAGCACCTTACCATTGCAGAGGCTGGCTTTGAAATAGTGATCCTCCTGCCTCAACCTCCAGAGCCGCTGGAATTACAGGCATGTGCCACCATGTCCTGCTTGAGCAAATGTTCTTAATAGCAACTATATAGATTACCAAATTAAATTCATAATGTAAAAAGAATATGTTAATTTTTACATTGAAAGTAATTACAAAAAATTTTATGGATTGAATTAAAAGATCGGATTCCTTTTAAGAATTGGTAAAGATAATCTATAGTAAATAGTGTTATTTCATTAGTAGGAGACATTTTGTAACACAAACTTCTTCTCAGCCAAAACTCACTTTTTATGAACAAGGTTCTATGAGTGGTGCATTATTATTTGTGAAAGACTGGACAGGGAATGATGAATCTACTTTTTCTCATCTCTAAAAACCAAGATTCACTATGCATGCAAGACAAAATGCTAAAAGAGAGAATGGAATTTTTATGTGTGTATGTGGTGCTGGGGATTGAACCCAGGGCATGTGAGGTAAGCACTCTATCAACTGAGCTATATCCCCAGCCCAAATGGAATTTTAAAAAAAAATTGACTTTGATATTTATTTGGATACAATTTTAGAAATAACAATGTATGATATACATGCCACTGGTTAAGGTAATGAAGAAATTTAACTCACCATTTTTTAGGTTTTGATAATGGTTTGTATTTGTTGTATTTTACACGCCATTCAAGAACTTCTTTACAGCGCTGACATACTCCATCGTGAAGTTTTTGGTTAATTTTCTTAAAAACAAACAGAAAAACAAATTAAAAATTTCACACATGAGTGAGTATAGCAAACCCCTTAAAAAGGCATGAGAGAAATTTACTTTTTTTTAAATATATTTTTTTAGTTGTAGAGGGACACAATATCTTTATTTATTTATTTTTATGTGGTACTGAGAATTAAACCCAGTGTCTCATACATGTGAGGCAAGTGTTCCACCACTGAGGTACACCCCCAGTCTGAGAAGTTTACTTTTTAAAAATATTTTTAGTTGTAGATGAACACAATACCTTTATTTTGTTTATTTATTTATTTAAATGTGGTGCTGGGGATCGAACCCAGGGCCTCATGCATGCTAGGCAAGCAAGCACTCTGCCACTGAGACACAACCCTAGCCTGATAAGTTTATATTTTTTAAAAAAACAATAACCTAATTTTAATCTGTATAACATTCTATGACATATTACATATTTTATGTATATTATCCTCTGATTCTTTAAAAGGTAATTGTTCTTAACTGGGTTTAGCTCAGAATCATCTAGAAAACTTTTCAATTTTCTGACGAGTATTTTGAGAAAGCTTTCCTGTTGACCAGATGTACATCATATCCTGATGGGTCAAAATTCATACTGTATAGTTAAGACATGTGTATTTTAGTATATGTTAATTATACCTCAAAAATGCAATAATTAAAAAAGAAAACATAGCTCATATTATTTCAACAATTCAAATATAATCAGTAAGTTGGAATTAAACTAAGGAATCCATTCTGAATTATCTTTTTTTTTTTCAGTCTCTAGGGTTCCAATCCAGGACCTGGGACATGTTAGGCAAGTGTTACCTAGCTGCACCTCCAGCCTGGGAATATGAAAAAAAAAAGGGGGGGGAAAGAAGGCTGGAAACAAGGCAGCATTTCATTACTCAGCCCTTTTTCATTCTTACATAAGGAAAAAATATTTTCAAAAAGTTCTTCTTGAGGCTAGTTATGGTGGTGCACACCTGTAATCCCAGTGGTTTAGGAGATTGAAGCAGGAGGATCTTGAGTTCAAATCGAGCCTCAGGATAATCGAGGTGCTAAGCAACTCAGTGAAAGCCTATCTCTAAATAAAATATAGAACAGGGCTAGGGATGTGGCTCAGTGGTTGAGTACCTGAGTTCAATCCCCAGTAAACCAAAAAATGGGCTAGGGATGTGACTCAGTGGTTAAGTGCCTCTGAGATCAGTCCCTAGTACCAAAAAAAAAAAAAAAAAAAAAAAAAAAAACCCAAAAAACAAAAAACCAAAAAAAGTTTCTCCTGGCTTTACCAAAATAGGAAAAAAAAAAAAAAAAAAAATTGTATGTGTAAATAGCTTGGTGAGAAAGGGGCTTTATGAGGAAAGAAAACATTTTTAATTATGATTTCCATCTCAAAATATGGTGGGGAAGAAATGTGATATATAGTAAAATTTTAAATGTATCATACCATCTCTGTAACAGATTCAGAATCTAAACTATATATTTTCAAAGTACTCTTGAGAATTTTCTGATCTCTTTGGTTGAGGAACATTGTCTTTGCCTATTACTGAACTTACGAATAGAAGGCATTTTAAATCTTTTCTTTTTTACTCCCTTTGTTCTTTTTTAAATTTTTCAAGGGGAGAGAAACATATCACAAAGATGCCAATTCTTTGGAAGGATATTTGGAAGGACAGAGTTAAAAGCACAGTGTTTAGACTAGATCATCTGAAGGAAAACAAAACTTTTGAGAAGTGCTTGATATTCTTGAAAGCTCTGAACAAGATGGCAAAAATAATTGGACAAAACATTTATTAAAAGAGAAAATATGGGGCTGGGGATGTGGCTCAAGCGGTAGCGCGCTCGCCTGGTATGCGTGCGGCCCGGGTTCGATCCTCAGCACCACATACCAACATACCAACAAAGATGTTGTGTCTGCCGAGAACTAAAATAAATAAATAAATTAAAAAAAAAAATGATACCTCCCCTGACCACCAGGTAAATGAAAAAAACTCATTCCTATTAAAAAAAAAAAAAAATATTTCAAGGATATTTTCAAAATCCATAAATTAAGCTGTGAATACATTATGTTTAACTCTGGTGAAAAACATATTGTTACTATCATTATGTATGGGTATATCGCTTTCCTCCTGACTTACGTAGAGTTCCCAGGAACGTCAGCTCTGTATCTCACTATATTGGTTCCATACTGTGGTACACTGGTGTCAGAAAGGACAGCTATGCCCACAGGCCAAACTCCTCTTCCTCCCAATCTTGGTCCTCAGTGATCATGTACAAAGCTAATTAAGAAATATGCAGAACTAGGGGGCTAGGGATATAGTTCAGTTGGTAGAGTGCTTGCCTTACATGCACAGGGCCCTGGGTTTAATCCCTAGCACCACCAAAAAAAAAAAAAAAAAAAAAAAAGAAATATGCAGAACTAAAGTTCGCATTTCATCATTTGTTCTTGTTCTCACTGCCTTCTGTTGCCTAGAATATCTTACTAAAAACATTACTTGTATTTTCTTAACTCCAATAATAATAGGAACAAGTTAATGACCTTGAACTATAATTACAATAAGAATATGATATAAACTTTCTAACTGGCATTTTCTTAGAATTCAAAACATTTTATGACCTGCAATTTTACTACACATAGCACGATCAGCTTGTTAACTGCCATGTTAACCAGGAAGTATTATTTGGCTTCTTGTTTGCTTCTGTATCCAATTTCTGACCAGTTCATCTTGATTTACAAAGCTGTGCATAGTTTGGAAACTGGTTTCTTCAGGGTGGATTGACAGTAGAACAAAAGAGGTCTTTGTGGGAACTTGTCCTGAGAGTGATGTGTGAAGCAGTATAAACGGAGATGTTGTACAGCATTCACATGACCAACTGGCCCTAAGGCAAAATTAAAGTTGATGTTTATGTGTCAAGAAATGAATGAGGGTGGGCTGGGGATGTATCTCAGTGGTAGAGAACTTTCCTAGGAAGTGTGAGGCCCAGGCTTCCATACCCAGTACCACACACATAGAAAGAAAGAAAAAACAAATGAATGGGGTAAGGATGACAATGAATTTTCACTTGAAAGTAAAATGCAGAAAGAAAGATATACACCTTATTTTACCTTATTTTGGCAAACCAGAAGTGAATTCCAGAGGTGAGCAAAGAAAGCTAAATCCTGATTCTAGGAATTGTTCCATCTGGGGCAAAAGAGATGGCAGTCTTACTTCACTCACACTTAAGTGAACAACTAACCTGTTGGGAGCCACAGATGAATTGTGAGCTTGTCTGAGCCATCTCTAAGCGGAGGTGTGCCCCTCAAAGAACTCTCTGTGCCATCTCACCAATCTGAGACCACTCCGTTGCCTTGGCAACATCCTGCTCATAGAGAATTCTGTGATACTGCAGAATTTATTGGTTCAGACAGCTCCAGGTTCAAGGAGGTGGAAAGAGATATCTGTGCATCCATATAGTCTTGAGGTGCCAGCTGCCTGGAGGAGGAGGAATTACTGCGAAGGTGATAAGGCTCCATTCAGGCCAACTTCCCCATAACCTCCTGCTTCTCTCTCGTTTACCTTTAAGAACCCTGCCTCATAATAAATCCCTTTGATGTGTTCCCCTATAAATAAAGCATGCAGACCCTCACTCTTTGTTAGAGACAGGAGTCATCAGGTCCAATCTTCCCACCAGGACCCCGCTGTGAAACTACTTTTCTGAGTCTTTTATTTCTTACTAATTATTTCAGACTTTTAATTTCTCAGCTGGCTCATACCTCTGTGCAGTTAACTAACTGATCCCTTGTGCAGGACACAGCGACACCAACCCTCTTTTGGCAATTAATTTGAGTATACCACTCAAGATGGAAGATCACAGGTTATTAAGGTCAGACTTAAGTATGCCCAAATATAAAATGAACACAGTTTTGCAAATACAAAAGCCTTTAAAAGCTAGACATGGTGGCTTATGCCTGTAATTCCATCAACTTCTAGGCCAGCCTAGAAGTTGATCCTCCTATCTCAGGAGACCCTGTTTCAAAATAAAAAATAAAAAGGGCTGGTAGCTCAGTGGTAAAGTGGCCCTGAGTTCAAGTCCCCATCACTAAAGAAAAAAAAAAAAACCACAAAAAACTTCATTGGAAAATTTCACTGAATGAACACTTTTTAAAAATTTAAACTTAAATACTTACCTAACATATACATAATATCTAAAAATTGTCTTGGCCATCATTAGCTTACATATTTTAGAGTAAGTGGTATTATCCCTGTCATAAGTATTCTGTTAGAGCACAATAATATAACACAGCAATCCCACACAGAAATGAGGTGAGGACTTTGACTTCCTGAAAAGTAGCAAGAGCAAATTTTAAATATGTGCATCAACACGCTGATGCTGAAAAGTATTTTGTAAAATGTAAAGTCTCTTTTAACAGAAGAAAGATACTATTATAGGAGGGAAGGAATTTGAATACCTTTCAAAAGCAACTAATGTCATTGTAGATCACAATTCTTTCAGAAATGTTAAAGGTAAAGTGACTGCAAATGGCATATTTTACTTCCCTTGATTGAAAAAAAGAAAAACGAAATTCTCAAAGGAAAATGCTAATTCCAACTGCTGTTAAATATTTATTTTCATGGACTGGCGTTGTTCTTTGTCCTGAATTACTCCTCCCCATAAAATAAGGAATTTTACTTAAATATAGCAATGGCAATGTTATTCCAGAAAATAAAAATGTTTATATCTTAAATTATATTTAAAAGTATATAATTTTCTAGAAACATTCTCTTATTCTAAAATTGACTAACAGACAATGGAGTACTGCATTTGGAAGTAGGAACTTATAGGACTAATGAAAATAATGTGAAAATCTGTCTTTTAGTTTGTGACTTTCAAATAATAAACTACATTATTTTAAATCCTTTGAATATGGCTAGAAAAAAAAACAGATAAAAGTGGCTGGGGTTGTAGCTCAGTGGTGGAGTGCTTGTCTCACACTTATGACTGGGTTCGATCCTCAGCACC